AAAAAATACATCACGAGATTAGTCAACGCTCAGTTCTTTTCATTCTCTGCTTCGTAAGGACAAATAAACTAATGGATCTACCTTTCAAGGATTATGCAATACCTTGATTACGTAATGTTGTTTTCCATAACTAGTTTCATGTGATGAAAGTACACCAGGAAAGAATTTCTCTTGGTGAAAATGTTTATCCTTCAGGAATTGGTATTTAGAATATACAGAGCTGCCTGGTTATCGTTGATATGAAAAGAAATCCTTTCGTTTCATTCACATTCTCTTGTTTGGCGGTACTTTTTTAATCTACTTTTATTGACTTTTGAAAATGATTTACTATATCGTCTGTTTCGACTGAGTGCAAACTATGGGAAGCTGAACGGGACAAAAAAAAAAAAAAGCGAAAATAACATTTCTAGAGACATGACAAAGTCGAGAAAAGGGCTACCAACCCGATCCTCCATAAATCATAATTCAGTTGTCAGTGATAACCCATTTCCTTCTCACACTGTTCATTGTTTTTCCTTCCCTTCAGTTGTTTGAAGGCGTTCTCGTCAAAACAAGATCTCGAAACAATAAAATTACGCAGAATTAACGGACGTTAATCATCACAAAACAAAAAAATTCGAAACAAAGTTGACTGGCAAGGTTTTCTGTTTAATTCTTGGTTTCTCGTAAAGTGTTGGAATTGCTGAACTCCATGGTCGAAGCTTAGGTTATCGAAGTAGATGAAAAAGTCATATGAATGCATAACCTTTATGAGACTGATGTTATCCTGAATAGAGAATCTATTATTCTGTCCTTTGTAGAATTTCATACAATTATTATTTATTTTTAAGTCCTGTTTGTGGTCGAATAGTTTATATTTGTTTTTTTCTGGGTGTTTTAATTTCTGAAAAAAATTTTGTTTTAAGTTGTGCCTGCCTTAACGTCTTGATTCCGCGGCTGTAATTGAATTATAGTTGAAGTTTCTGTACTAGGTAAATTGTTTTGTTCGTTTTCCGCTACTACGATCCATTTAGTAGAATAATAATTTGAAAAACCTCCTATTCTCATTTATGCCTCCTTAAAATAATTCCTAACTCTTAATTCCAGCGAAACTTAGAAATATAATTCATCAGATGATTAGATTGTAATTAAAGTGTCTTAACTAGGTCAAGAATTTTGTTTCTTTTTCGTTTCTCGCCGTAAAACTAGGAAATTATAAGACCACGATAGGTTAGCTTTCAAAAGGCGAAATAAAAATCTCTCACAGTATGGTGTACTTGTTTATCCTGACATCATTTTAAGAGCGAATTTATTCTTGTTATTTGTCAAAAGGTCACTATCATGTGTTGACAGAATCGAGCAAATTTGAACGTAACGTTCGTTTTATCAACACATATAGTGTTCTTTATTTTTTTTAACATCGCTACTCCAAAGCTCATTCAACTCTTTTCACTTTCTATGAAATAAAGTTTCGGTTTATCAGGATAAATAGATAACTAAATGAGTATTTTTCTATGCAAATTGCCATGTTGGCATCACCGACATATTTTATTTGACCGGAATCGTTTCGCTCCAACAGAAACAGCTGACGTAAGTTGCTGTTAAATTATGAAAACCTCTCAAAACGGAGCTGAGTTAGAAAAGTCTCCATCTATCTAATCTATTAAAAGAATAACAGAGTCTACCATAGGGCTGAAGTATTACTTAAAGAAGCAGGCAGGAGGCATTGAGGATGCCATTAACTTTGACTCCGAGTGGTTAGATACGATTACAATGCCAAACAAACGTGATCGACCTGAATATGATCCATGTTCTCTCTTTCAATGTACTGAATATCAACTACTAAAAACCCTGGCTTGAGAATCAAGATCAGCTAAACTATTTCACAACGAGCGCATGGTCATAGCCCTGAAATTATTGTGAGAAGGAGAAAATTAACCTCTACCTGTGAAATGTAGTGAATTGATTCTATGATGTTATTCCCGCATAATGTTAACACAGCTTTGTTATTATTCCAGCCTCTCAGCTTGGCACCTCACATTATGGTACAACAGACCATCAACTAG